CGGCACCCTTCTTGTTGTTGTTGTTGCCGTTCAGCTTCCAGCATTCTTGAATCATGTGCCCAGTCTTCTTGCAGTACTTGCAGAAGAGTCTTTTCTTGTCCGGTGGCACTTGAGCGTAGAAGGCAATCTTCTCCTTTTTGTTGCCTCGTTTGTTGTACAGGTCGATTTCCTTCTGCTCGGAGAGAAGCGTGGAGCAGAGGGCAGTTTCGCTGAGAGTGCCTTGTGTGCGAAGGAGGGACTTACATTGGCGCCATTCCGGGTTCAATCCAGCAAGGATGATGGTGACGAACATGTCGTCAGGGAAGTTGCCGCCGCTTTTCCTGAATTGATCTCTCAGGATCCTGCAGCGGTTGATGTATGGTCCGGCCTTTTCGCCGGGAAACATCTTGACGTTGTTCAGCTGGTTGAGCAAGCGACTGAGTGTCACCGAATCTGTTGCCATGTGGCAGGTGCGCAGATGTTCCCAGGATTGTTGCGCGGGCGCCCATTCGTTTTTGAAGGGGCGAATGCTCAGCTGTTCTTCGGGCGACAAGTTCCGGATCAGGACGGTGAAGGCCAGGAGTGATTCGTTGTAGTATTGCGTCTTCTCCTGAGGTGAGCCGTTTGTTGGGAAGGGGTATGATCCGTCGTAGTACATCCAGATCTGAGCGCCCTGAGCGAGTAGTTCGAACTCGAAACTCCACGTGTAGAAGTCTTGTCCGTCGAAGGGCTTGGTAGTTCTGAGCTTCGACGTGGAGAGGAACTTGCTCTGCATTGAAGCCATTGCCTCGTAATGTGTTTGTTGTGCTTGAGCAGATCCTTGAGCTCCGCGGTTGTCGAAGGTGAAGGATCGTTCAGATCCAGCTCCTTGAGGATCGGGAGGTTTTCAGGCGTAACTTGAGCCGTCAATGCTCATGGGCTGGTGGCTCTCCAGTGCACTGATGCGGGAGATCAGCTGCTCGAGGAGCGCTGTGTCCACGGTCGTCGTAGTAGAGGCGACATTGGTGGAGGGTTGCACTGGGTTTTCCCCAGCCTCTCCGCAGTCTGCGCCTGGCATGTTGATGCCCTTGATGTCGTTGGTGTTGAGGTTTAATTTATAAAGAAGCTTTGTCGGAAGCCTCTTTTAGCAGATCCTATAATCCAAACTAGCTCTGATACCATGTTAGAGTGAGGATCTTGGACAGGATAGGAAGTGCTTTGGTAGAGTTGGTAGCAGAAGTCTTGTAAGAACTCAGATCATAGTGAATGTAAATGACCAAGTTGATTAAAAGATAGAATACAAGGAATATAAATAGTCCTAGTCTAGCCATGTACTCTAAGGGGTACATTCCCTTATTATAAATGTTTTACTGACATTTCTACAGTGACTCTGACTGTTGTTCTGCCTTTCTTGTTACCGAGTCGCTGCATGTAACCTGTACGGTTACGCCTGTTGCCATTCTTTGATGGTAAGTCAAGCGTCGGTCCAGATGGTCAACAGTCGCGACAGTTGACTCTTGCGACTGTTGACCTTCCTGCCCTTGTTACGGGCTGATCCGATACTGCGGTAGTTACTGCTTTGACAGAGTCAGATGCGATACTACTGCACCTACTGGAATGCCAAGTACAATTTCCTTCACACTCCAACATATAAGAATACAGGGGAATACGAAAAGACCTAGATTAGTCATGTACTCTAAGGGGTACATTCCCTTATTGCGGCGAATTCAAACCGTGCGGCGCGGGAACCCGTTTCAAACCTGTTCCCGCTATTTTCATTTCAAATGTTTATGCCTGCATCGGTCTTGATCTGACGGTTGCTGCGTCGCTTCGACTATTCTGACTCCTCGACTTCGTTGTCGGTAGAGTCGGCCCTTGCAGCGTACAGGAATGCCATCTCATATGATTTCATATCGTAACAAAACTGCTAGATAGTTGTAGTTGCTGGTAAAATATATAATTTAATTAATCATAATCCAATATAGCTGCGATTTTTTTTGTTTCCTCATTTGATAATTTTCTATGCGTTAATAAACTATAAGAAAATCTTATAGCATCAAAATTCGAATTTTCAGTTCCTTTGATACTGTCTGAAGCTAGAAGAAAATGCTGTCCTTTGAGTTGAAAAGGAAATGTCAGAGCAGGTGTACATATACAGAATGTACTTCTATCAATTTGCTGAGTCTGCTCTTATTGCCCTGGCTTTCCTTGCTCTTTATCAATTTTACCTGCCGCAGCAACGCCCATTTCTCATTTCATGCGCTGCGTACTTAGCTGCCTTAGCTGACCGAGCTCATGCCTCTCTATGTCTTGAATTTGCGCAACTTCGCTCGTTCTTTTCCGCCCACCTTACGCTCGCGATGTCCTCGGCTGATCGATACACGCAAGCAAGCCCTCCTCTCTCCGCGGGCCGAACTCCTTACTCTCTGGTCAACCCTTACTCACCAGTCACTCCTTACTCTCCCGTCTTGCCTTCATACGGCGCTAGCGCTCTCCACAGCAGGGGATTTAACGATCTAGGCAACGTGAATGTAGGAAGATGGAACAATAGCGGTGCCACCACCGCCGCTGCTGGTAGCCTAGGAGGTGGGAATGCAACACCAACGCCACCTCCCACCCATCCGTCTCGTGCATCCGCGCTTGCTTCCTCCCCTCTAAGCGCATCCCCGTTAATGGCATCCGCGCTAGGGGCAATTGGTGGAACTAGCAGAGCCGGCGCGAGAGACGCCGGGGCGAGCACCAGCGGAAGCACTGCGTTTCCGGGGGGGAAGTCGTATTCGGGCGCTAGCACTAGCTCCCGCGGCGGCGGAAACCCCGCGCGGGGTAGCGCGGGTGGCGCAGATCCGAGCCTTTATGACCCGCTACTATACACTCCGCCCTCCTTCTTCCCGCCATCGCCAGAAAGTAACCCTACTAACCCTTTTAGTTCCGAAAATCCCGCTACTTCTGCGCGGAACACTACAGGCGGGAATCCGGACCCCGAGACAGGGGCAGGAGCCCCCCCATGCCCGCTGTGCCCCCCCAACCCTCCGCTCATCAGCCTCCTCCCCACGCTCTCGCTCTACGCCTTCCTCCTCCTCCTCCTCACCTCGCTTCTCGCCCTCCTCGCGTGTCGATCCCTCTGGCCGCAGTACGCGCCGCGCTTCCTGCGAACGCACATACCTAACCCTAATGTCCTCTCGCAGTTGCTCCTCCTAATACACCTCGTTTTCCTCACGCTCTTCGCGTTCCTATACGTGATCTTGTCCCGTCAATTGCTCCTGCACCTCCTGTTCGGGGATCTGCTGCTTGTATGCCGGCTAGGGTGGTTAGCTGTGTCCCCGCTGGTGGCGCTATCTGCGGGAAACGCGCTCCTACTCGTGCTCGTGCTGCTGCTGGTGCCTCTGTTTCAGCCCGGCTCTTCCCCTTCAGGTCCCTTGTACCCCCCACCTCCTCCTCCTCTTCCTCCTCCTCCTCCTCTCCCTGCCCCTCCCACTGTCCCCGGCCCTCCTTCCCTCGTATCAGTTGCTCCTTTCTCATCACTCCCACCACCGACATTACCCCCATCACTCCCACCATTCCTATTGCCCCCTCCTTCCACAGCAACACTACAAAATAGCTTTGCGTCATCCTCCCGGCAATCCGCGTTAGTGTCAGGTATATTTCCTCCCAAAGCGATCCACCACCACCGAAAACCCCGATACTTCTCTCAACCTTCCCCCCCTTTCTCCAAACAACCTGGTTCTTCCTCCTCCCCCTCTTCCTCCTCCCTCTCCTCCAAAATTCCTGCGTCTTCTTCCTCCTCTGCCTCCTCTCCCTCCTCTCCCTCCTCCACTTCCTCCTCCTCTCATCGCTACCTGCGTCAACGACAGCAGCAGTTGCTGCTGCTGGAAAGCGGGCGGACCCCTGGGTTGGGGAGGCCGCGTGCACACGGATATGCTAAAGCAAATCAAGACCTGCTGGGTGTACCACAGATGCGTTTTGAGTCGATTCAAACATCATCACAGGAGCTTCAAGTCTCACCACAGGACCAGGTTCAGCAGAGATTGCAGCAACAGTGGCAGCAGCAGCAGCAGCAGCAGCGGCGGCGGCAGCAGCAGCAGCAGCAGGCATGGCAGATTGGATTACAGGGGGCTTCAAACTGCGTACAAGGGTTGAAACGACGCGTCTTAAGGATCGGCGCTTCAGGCTTGCTCACCCTGTGGAGATGGCTGAGGTTTCATCGACCAGACTGTGTGCAAAAGCAGCACCAGGGACAACAAGGGAAAGGGGAGCGAGAAGGGAAAGGTCAAGGGGAAGAAGGAGGAGGAGGAGGAGAAGGGGAAGGAGACGGAGAAGGAGGCGGAGGCGAGGTAGGGGAAGGAGAAGAGGAAGAGGACATAGTGTGTGAGCTTCTATGGCTGTCGCTGGGGTTCATATCTCTCGCTGAATCCGCTTTCTTTTCATGTGCGTCTGTAGCCTTCATTCACCAAGCGTTTGTGTGCCGCGCACGGCACCAGGAACCTTGGCTCTCACACTCAGGCCTTGGGGCTGTTAGCAGCGGTGGGGGAGGGGCCGAAGAAGGAGAGGAAGAGCGGGGAGCGGGGAGGGGGCGAGGGAGGGGGAGAGGGAGAGGAGGGGGAGATGGTGGTGGTGAGGGTGGGAGTGGGAGTGGAAGGGGGCAGGGGTTGGTGGTAGGGGAGGTGGCGCTGATGCCTGTGGGGTCGCCTCAGCTGGTTTGGTCGCAGAGGGCGTGGCTGCACCTGCAGCACCGCATTGCTCGAATGCTGCAGGTACACATGTTTGCTTCCGTGTGCATATGTGATGTGATCATATGCTCACATGATCACATCCTGTCTGTCTGATTTGCATTCACTCTCCCTGTCCTTCTCTTTTGCTCCCCTGACTAACGACCCTCTCCGTGCTGTTCCCATCCTTTCCTTCTCCTTACATCCGTTCCCTTATGCACATCTCCCTGCCTTTCCCATCTCCGTTTCAATCCCACAGCCCCTCTTCTTTTCTTCGCAACCTCAACATACCTTTTCTTTTCACTTTCTTCGCATCCCCGCACCCTCTCTTCCCCAATGTCATTCCAACAGCCACTACATGAGCATCTGCTCTTCTTCTCCTCGCCTCTCACCAAACCTGAGGACACCTCCCTGCCGTCCTCTGCAGCAGCAGCTGCTGCACAGGAAGCTCAATCCTTCCGCTACGCACCCCTCCCAAGCCCCTCGCCCTCCGCCGCTGCTGCCTCTTCTTCCTCCTCCTCGTCCCCTGCTTCTTCTTCTTCTGCTGCTGCTGCCGCCATTGCATCGTCCATTTCCCTGACTCTCACCATACCACGGCACACACAAGCCGCCACCACCCCCCTCCCCACCACCACCACCACTCCCGCTTCTTCGTCTTCTGCTGCTGCTGCCGCCGGGGGTTCTACCACTCGAATCCTCCTCACTTCCCCAACCTCCTCCTCCGTCCCCCTCCGATCTCTTCCCAGCCCCTCCGCTCCTGCCTTCCCTTCCTCCCTCTCCGGGGGCAGTTCAGGGTCAGCAGCGCTGCAGGTGCCACCAGCGCAGCGGCTGCTGCAGGAGGGGGGGTTGATGCAGAGCGTGTACAGAGAAATGGTGGCGACACAGCAGCGGGTGGTGGAGTTGGAGCAAGAGGTGCATCGGCTGGACGAGCAGAACAAGCTGGTACGTGCCGGAGATTTGTTGTTGCTTTTTTTTTTTTTTTTTTTTTTTTTTTTTTTGCAACAGCTGTTTTTTTTGTGGCTCTCAGGAGTCAAATTGCTTTCTTTTTTGTGCCTTCACGATCCCCTGCCCATTCACCTGACGATCTACCTGCATGTACACCCATGCTTTTACTTGAAACACCACCTGTGTCCCGTACCCTCCCTCTGTAACCCCTTCCGCCCATTAACCCATGCTGTGCAGTATGTTCAGGAGCATGCTCGCCTGCGCGGCCTACTGGGGGAATGGAGCGCCCATGCCGCCAAGCTAGAAGCTGCTCTGTACCGCTCACAGGTGCATGCACAGAGAGAGGCAGAGAGGGAAGGGCGGAGAGGAGGCGCCGGGAGGGTGGGGACGAGCGACAGGCTGAGGGGAGGGCAGACAGGTGGAGGGAGAGTGGGAGAGGAGAGTGGGTCACAAGCAAGAGCGCAGGCCCAGGCACATGCAGGGGGGGCGGCGGGGGGAACGGCAGGGGGGGCAGCAGGGGTAGCAGCAGGGGGAGCGGCAGGGGGAGCGGCAAGGGGAGCGGTAGGGGTAGCGGCAGGGGGAGGGGCAGATGGTGAGGCGGATGGGCAAGGGGAGGGGGATGTGGATGGTGGAGAGAACGGACAGGTGAACGGGCAGCTGCAGGAGGGGAGGCAGGCCGAGGGAGTGGGAGAGGGGGAGAGGAGGGACAGACGGGATTTGGATTAAGGATTACGGTAACTGCTGCTTTTGGAGCCGAGGTTATACTGGTAGCACAAGTGTGCCTCTGCTGCTCCCTTCCCTTTCCATGATCTATGCGGGGGTATGGTGATGATGAGTGAAGGTGAAGGAGCGTCTTGGCACTGTAGCTATTGCAACAACCATTTTAGCATATATGTTTTTGAGGCTAGGTACTGTAGTACTATGTGTTGAATATGCAAATAGGCATTGTATTACTATATAAGTTACTAACCAGGCACCATTAGTGCCTTTTATGTGTGAGTTCAGCACCATTATTGCAGCCCAGCCCAGTGCCTTTTATGTGTGAGTTCAGCACCATTATTGCAGCCCAGCCCAGCCCGAGGATAGAAAATCGACCCAATGACCTTCAGTTCACTCCTCCAACATTGGATATTCCGTCCAATGTTCTCGCTGGGAGCCAGATTGTGCTGCTGTTGTGGAGGTAATTTCAACCCAGAGGCTACCGCGGTACTTGGCAAATAGTCTAGAATGCCCGCGACTTTCTCGCATTTATCGACCAAATTCTTTCGCGTTTGCTCTTCGAGTCCTTTTTCGCTCCCGCTAGAGCCGCTCCGCGCGTTCAAAGCTCCGCGCAGCCACCTTACACGTGTCACGTCCCTGCCGCGCGCGAAACAGCCCTCGGCGCATTTCGCGCTTTCCGGCTCGCACGCCTGTCAAGTATCTCGACTTGCTTATTCCTCCCTTCCGCCGCTGATCCCGCCGTTTAGGCCGCCGCTCCTTGCGCCGGAATTTTCTCACGCGCAGTTGCCGCAGCCACCGTTCCGCGCTGTGCGCGGAATGTCGTCCGGAGGCGCTGAGGCTGCGCCGGCAGGGGGAGGTGCAGGCGCTGGAGTTGCGCGCGTGGGGGGTGAAGGTGCAGCCGCGGTGGCCGCGCCAGGCGCGGGCGCAGCAGTAGGTGCGCCCGCGCTTGCCCCCCCTGCTCTCGTGGTTCTAGAGGGGGTGGCGGAGCGGGAAGGGGAGATTGTCGCGACCGTGCGGATAGATGCGCGGGTGACCGGGGAAGAGGAGGGGCGCATGGTTGCAGAGGGGCGCGGGGAAGGGGGGGAGGAGGGGGGAGAGTGCGCGGAGGGGCATGAGGGGGTGCAGTCTCACGTGGTGCAGGTGAAGGCTGGGGCAGGCGTTACCCGTAAGGAACTAGAGTACGTGCCTCTTCCTTACCCTCTTCTACCCACCCACGCAACCCCGCTCCTCATCTCCCTCGCTCTTCTCTCCCTTTCCTTCCCCTCACTCTTTCCACTTTCTCCTCTCCCACACCCTCCCCCTCTTCCCCACCACTTCTCTTTCCCCTCCTCTTCCCTCACACTCTTGGGTGCTTGCTTACCTTACCCCTTCCCTTGCACTGCCTGCTGCATCTCTGCCTCTCTACCTCCCTGCACCCCCTTCACCTTCTCCCCATCTTCCCCCGTCTCCCCCCAATCAGGGCGGCGGTGCTCTCTGCCCCCTTCGTGGCGTGGCTGCAGCAGATGGCAGCAAGCAACGGGCTGCTGGGCGCGCAGGGGGGGTGTGACGGCGCCAAGTGTGCGTTGCACGGGGTGACAGTGCAGAGTGTGGACATGTTCGGGGCGGGCAAGGTGGGCTTCGTCAAGTTCAGAGCCGATGTGGTCGACGTAGCTACAGGCTCCAAGGTGCGTTGCTGCTGCTACAGCCGGGGAGGTGGGTTGCTGCCATGCCACAGGCGTGCTACAGGTGGACCCAAAAAGGGCCATCGTCTGCCTCTTTATGTCTATTCCCTGCTATCCCCTCTTCCCCCGGCTCCTTGTCCTTCCGCTGCCCCTTCTGTTCCCACATCAAACCCACACCCCACTGCACCCACCCCCCGCTCTTCCATGCAGCTGCCAGGGATAGTATTTGCGCGCGGCCCAGCAGTGGGAATATTCATGCTGCTGCGCGTGGCACAGCCACAAGGGGACGGCCCACCGCAACCCCCCACTGACTACGTTGTTCTCACAGAACAGGTTGGCTGCACTCACTCAATCACTCACTCACTCACTCACTCACTCACTCACTCACTCACGCATTCTCATACCCACTTATCCACTCTTCAAACCTTTCCGCTTCCTCTCTCGTTTTTATTCCCCCTCCGCCCACTCTCATTTCTCCCTCTCCACCTCTTCCCCTCTCCTCCTCTCCCACCCTCACCCTCCCCCCACAACCCATCAGGCGCGAGTTCCAGTGGGAAGGGTGCTGCTGGAGATGCCAGCTGGCATGCTGGACGGCAATCACGGCGAGTTCGTGGGGACAGCAGCAAAAGAGGTTCGTTTTCCTCCTCCTGCTGTTTTCTGCTCTGCAGCTTTTGGGATCCGTTGAAACTTGTTCTCATCAGTGCATCCGCCTCATCTCAACCATCCTGTTCACTTCCCACCAATGCTCACCCCTGATGCCCTCCCCCGATGCTCCAACGTTTCATCCCTTAACATCCGTCCATCCATGCATGTATGCATAATGCATGGCAGGTGAAGGAGGAGACAGGTATCACAGTGCACCACGACCATCTCATCAACCTCACCGCCTTCCTGGAACCTTCCACGGGGCAACAGATGCTGCCTTCCCCGGTACGATGCTCTTCTTCCACTTCCCATTCCTTCTTTCCAGTTTCGCTTCCTATCTGTTCAGGTCATGCTCTCCACTCCTACCTCGGGCCTGTGCTTGCCGTTCTTCTTCCCTAGTACATGTCATTTCTCATCCCCATCCCACCAATGCAAAAGTTTTCCCTCCTCACACCTTCCCCTCCCTCCTCACCCCCCCTCCCTCTTCTTTCTCTTCTCGCTCCCTCCCTTTCTCTCCTCTATCCCCACGTTTCTGTCCTCTCTCTCCCTCCCACTTCTCTCTTTCATCCTCCCTCCCGCCTCCCTCTCCTTCCTCCTTCTCCCTCCTCTCTTTCTCCCTCTTCTCCCCCACTCCTCCTCTACATCTCTTGCCTATCCCATCAGGGTGGGTGCGACGAGGGAATCCTTCTCTTCCTCTATCGAGCCACCGTATCACCTTCTGTAAGTCTCTCATTTCACCACTGACAGCACAGTATTTTAAAGCACAGTATCCGCTTCCTTCAACTCGGAGTTTTCATCGAGCCGTCTCAGAAATGCACGTGCGTCCTCTATCCCCTCCATTTCAACCACGTCGTCACTCGCCCTCCCCCACTTCTCCCCTCCTTCCGCAATCCCCATCTCAGCGCATAGCCAAGTTACAGGGCTGGCAGACAGGCTTACGGCACGAGGGGGATCTGATCAAGGTGCACGTGCTCCATTTTACCCCTCTGTCCTGGCCCTCTCTCTTAAACCCCTTTCTCTTCCCCTTCTCCCGCGACCCCCCTCCTCCTCCCCCTCTCCCTCCCACATCTCAGCGCATAGCCAAGCTACAGGGCCGGCAAACAGGCTTACGGCACGAGGGGGAGCTGATCAAGGTGCACGTGCGCCCTCTGCACTCCATCTGGCGCCAGTCCGCTGATTGCAAGGTGCTGGCGGCCATGGCGCTGTATCAGAACGCACTGAAGGAGGGGCTGCTGAGGGACGAGTTCCCTGCTGTGGAGGAGAGTGATGGGGTCAGCAGCGACGGGGAGTGAAGCGAAAGTGAGGGAGGGTAGGAGGGGGAGGAGGAAGGGGGTGGGGAAGGGGAGTGTGATTGGAAGGTAGTTGGGATACTGCGAAAGGTGATGTATAGAAGGATGTGGATTTAAACGGCAGTCGGTGCTGAAGGTTGGCAGATGGGGGGGAGGGGGGGGGCATGCAATGTAAGGCGGACTGCAAGGTGCTGGCGGCGCTGGCGCTGTACCAGAACGCGCTGAGAGAGGGGCTGCTGAAGGATGAGTTCCCTGCTGTGGAGGAGAGTGATGGGGGCAGCAGCGACGGGGAGTGAAGCAGAGGAGTTGGGGGAGGAGGGGGGAATGAAGAGGAAAAGTGAAAGGGGAGTGGAATAGGGGAATTGAAGAGGGGTGTTGATGGGATGGGGCAGGGTTTGTCCACTGCAGGGTTCTGGTGGAGGCAATGGGGGATAAACACCAGCAGCCACTGCCGGGATGAAGCACCAGCTACAGCAACAGCAGCAGCTACGGCTCCAGCAAGCCCGCGTAATCTGAGGCGCTGGTTGTAACTCGTGTGGCTCAATGCGGTATTGTATACGTTGAAGGTGGGCTAGGGTCTAGGAATGGGTGTGGTGGGCAAAGAGAGGAGCCTTTGGAAGGGCTGTCTTCTTCTAAGTCTCTTGATGTTTATGGTGACAGTTAATTTGGAATTAGAGATTCTCGTTAAGGACTTAAATGTGCTGTTGGGAAAGTCTATATAATGCAGCGCGGTAAGGCCCATGATTCTCAGAGCAGTGAGGTGATAGGAGAGTAGCATTTGCGATACAATAGTACCAAGTAGCATGCCTACAATGGTGCACAACACAGCAACAAGCACCTCCGCAAAGGTACGTTTGGTCCATAGTGGTAAGGGGCATGCCGTGGTTGCTAAGGTGCTAGGGACATGGAGGAAAGCTGCACTGCAAGGGATGGAGAGGTGGTGGTTGTGGGGAGGGGAAGGGGTGGGGTGACGGGAGGGGGTTGTGGGTGGGGGAGCAGCTGCACTGCACTGCACTGGTTCTGGGCTGATACATCCTGTCGATCAGACTCCAACCTCCCACGCCCTGCCGCTGGTCAGCAAGCGTGCATGTGCATCATCATCACATGGCGCCGTGCTGCTTGGGCAGCTTGGAGGAGAGCGTGTTGCAGATGATGTCACGGATGTGTGCGTTCACGAAGTACTGGCTCAGCTTGTCCACTGTCAGGAACTTGGCTCCTGCCACCAGCCGCACACACTGCTCGTTCATAAGGGGGAGTTGGGTGGGGAAGAACGGAGGGATGGGGAGGGAAGGGAATGCTGATGGGTCTGGTCTGGTCCCAGAGCACGTGTTCACAAAGTACTGGCTCAGGTTGTCCACTGTCAGGAATTTCGCCCCAGCCACCAGCCGCACACACTGTGCTCATGAAAGAGCAGGAGGGATGCAAGGGAAGGAGGGGTTGTAGGCAGGGGGAGAGGAAAAGAGGGAGATAGTGTGGGGGAAATGCTGATGAACTCACAAAATTTCCCTCGCCATTCAAACCTCAGGGCAAAGAATTGAAGCCCCTTGTACCCCTGATCACGCACCCAACCAACCCCCAAAACATGAACCCCTCTCTTCCCAAACTCCGCGCGAGCTTCCCTTCCGCCACTCTCCAAGTCCCCCTCCTAAACTTCCCCCAATCACTGACCTTATCGGAGCCGCACCAGCAGGTGAAGGGGTGCTGCATCTCCCACTCGAAGGAAGGATAGAAGAAGGTGAGCTCTGCACCCACGGGGATGGCCTGCAGCGCCCTATCGCCCAACTAACCCCCAAACAATGGGGCCTTTTCTCCTCAAACAACTGACCTTGTCGGAGCCGCACCAGCACGTGAAGGGCTGCTGCATCTCCCACTCGGACGAGGGGTAGAAGAAGGTGAGCTCTGCGCCTGCAGGGATGGCCTGCAGCGCGCGCACTTCCATGGCGCCCACGCTCACCGCCACGTTCGGGTCGCAGCTGTGGTTCATGTAGACTAAGTCGGAATTGAGCTCCAGGTGCCGCTGCGCACCGTACTGCACCGTGCTGTAGCTGCACGGCACGTCCCAGGAGACGCCTGGCGGGGTGAGCGGAAGGGAGAGGGTGGGGTGGTGAGGGGAGGTTCAACCCAAATTTGGGATCGAGGGGTTGGGGTACCGAGGTGGGGGGTGCGTACTAGCAACCCCAGGACAGAGTGGGTGCACTGTACGCGCGAAGTTCGAGGGATGGTTGATGGATGGGAGATGGCGATGGGGCAACTGCGAATGCTTTCTCTCGTTCTGAGCGTTATTCGAATATACGCTGTAACGTCATGCCGCCTTCTAGTTCTGTAAGTATAGTGGCACGTGTCGTGCAATGATTGCAAAAGACGTTTTGGATCATGTCATTCAAGAGACAGTGCCACGGGTGATTGATTGTCTGACCTTCGATTTTGGCGATCAGCTGTCCCTTCTGGAACGGCACGAGCGCCACCAGCTTGGCGCGCAGCGCCTTGCCGTCCGCGTCGTCCTCGGGCCGCACCACGCGCACCCTGTCCTCGTGATACACGAACTTCGCCGGTGCAGCTGGGGCGGCCGCCGCGCCGTTTTTAGTAGGCGAACTAGTGGCGGCGGCGGCGGCGGCGGCGACGGCGGCGGAGCCCACGCGTTTCAGGAGCGGCGATCCGGCGCTCCCGTTCAGCACAGCCGCCGATTGCGGCGTGGTAGGCGGCGGTGGCGCTTTCACGTTCTGGGCGTCTTCCAGGGAGAGGAGATTCATGGCTGCGCGCGCCGCTGTGTCCGCCGAGTCGCCCAGACTCAGAGACACGAAGCCGGCTGTCGCGGCATCGGACGTCGTGTAGGATAATCCATCCGACGCGACGGCGCCGTTGGTGCCGTTGGCGGCGGCGCCGCTGCTGTTCTTTCGGGGAGAGAGGAAGGAGGATGCGTTTTTAGTAACATCGCCAGCCGCTGCTGCCTCCCGCCGAATCATCATCTGCGCAAGGGCGCTCGGTGAAGCCTTGCGGTGCGGAGACAGCCCCGCGGCGAGCGGGGAAGCGCCGGTGGCGGAAGAAGCCAGCGGAGGCGCGACGGCAGCCGTCGCGGAAGCCGCGGAGGCGGAAGCGGAGAGCGCGGCCGCGGCGATGAGATTGCCCGAGGCCTTGTAGGCCGGGTTTCCGCCAGGCTTGACTGTGGCGGGAGAGGAGAGGAACGTGCGACGGGGGGAATCGACACCCATGATGATTGCCGTGTGGTGACTAGGGGCGGCTGTCGTGAGATCGAGGAAGATCGCTGGGATTCGCACGCGTTGTGGGGAACGAGCGCGGCGTGTGTGGTTTTGCGTGGCAGAATAGAGGGACTCCGAGGTGACGGGATGGGCCTCGACGAGTGGGGCGGAGACGGGTGGTGGCTAGTTAGCGGTCTCGGGAATGGAGGTTGACAGATACGCAGAGCAGAGAGATATTGCCTGGGACGAAACCGTCGAGATCGGTGGGGACGAGGCTGAGATCGGTGGAGAAAGAGTCTTGGTGGTATTACCACGGCAAAGCTCGGTTCAGATCTTTTGACTGTAAAGTCGAATTGAAGTTGAATGGGAAATAATGTGGGGCGCTATTTACACGAGCTTTGATCAGCCTATGCGTTGCGATTGTGAGTTAGCTGTTTGGGTTTGGTCCCTTGGGAATTTCGCGCCGCGATGTGTCATGTAGCAGGTTCGACACATGCGAGGCGCGCAAGCAGCTGAACTTCCAGCTGGCACTTCCGTTGATCTGCTGAAGGACCAAGTGGAATGAAAGGGCTACCAGCAGTGTTACAAATTATCAGACATAACCTCACACACCTAAATCGTGTTGTCATAATCAACCAACTATTCCCAAACCAGTCAACCACAACCTTGAAAAGAACACCTACTTGCATCTTGAGACACAGAGCATGGGCAGAGTTATGAATAAATACTACGCCGCGATCAACACCTTACGAAGATTGTTCTAAAGGTTGGAAGCGAGATACACGCAGGTCACTGAGCTGTCTGTCCAAGTCGCCTTTGACTGAGTCCTGATGACTTGGTGCAATCACACCCACGTTCTCGCCCTCGATTTCCTCCCTGCGTACAACGGAGAAGGGAAAAAGATACACACGAATAAACAATTACTATCTAACCAATAAGTTAGTTGAAAAGATGGTGAAACATGTGCAGGACGCGTGAAGCAACTTGCCTGTGGCTTGTGTCTGCCCCGGAGGAATGCTGGGCCGAGAAGTCGATGCTGGAAACGTCGTACTTGGACAGGTCACTGCTGCTGAGCACCCCGGTAGGTGTGCGTGTTGAATAACCCATGTTCCTCTGCATACTCCACTCCACACCCTGCGTGCATGTGGGAGGAGGGAGAGGGGAGAGGGGTGAGGGGATAGGGGATAGGGGAGAAGGGAGATAGGAGAGTGGGTTTAGGAGGGAGGTAAGGGGAGCGAAACTCGAAAGGAAGTGAGGGAATGGGGAGGGGATGAAGGAGGAGCGGAAGGAGAGGAGACGAGTATGGGAAGCAAAGGAAGAGAGAAGGCAACTGGGGGGACGAGCAAGCAGCACTTACAGCGGTGTAAGCGCTCTTGTAATGCCTGACGTGGCTCTTGAGCCTCTTAGGCTTAGGCATGGGGGCAATGGGGTTGGTGTGCTCATCGCTGTCCTCCGCATGGCCATGCCGCGCATGCCTGCCAATGGGGGGTAGGGGAAGAAGTTAGGGGCGCAGGAGAGGGTGGTGCGGGTGTGGGGATGGAAGCGGGCATGGGAGTGGGCATGGGAGTGGGCATGGGAGTGGGCATGGGGGCAATGGGGTTGGTGTGCTCATCGCTGTCCTCCGCATGGCCATGCCGCACATGCCCGCCAATGGGGGGTGGGGGAAGAAGTTAGGGGCGCAGGAGAGGGTGGTGCGGGTGTGGGGATGGAAGTGGGCATGGGAGTGGGCATGGGAGTGGGCATGGGAGTGGGCATGGGGGCAATGGGGTTGGTGTGCTCATCGCTGTCCTCCGCATGGCCATGCCGCGCATGCCCGCCAATGGGGGGTGGGGGAAGCAGGGGAAGCAGTTAGGGAAGCAGGAGAGGTGGTGTGGGTGTGGGGTTGGAAGTGGGGATGGGGTGGGGGTGGAGGTGGTGATGGGGGTGAGTGTGGGGATGGGAGTGGGAGTGGGAGTGCGGGTGAGGTTGGGTCCACAGAATGATTTTTGTTACCACACATTCCCTTTTCTCCCAAATGAAGTGCAAATTTGACTGCTCAGATGTTACCACACACGCTATACTCCCATGCTCAGAAAACTAATAAGTGGCATTGGAGGATAGGGAATGGCAGGAGCAAGGGGAGAAGCAATGGAAGCAAGCAGGCCTACAAAGCAAAGCAGAACAAGGCTGGGACAAGGCTGGGACAAGGCTGGGGCAAGGTTGGGACAAGGCTGGGACAAGGCTGGGACAAGGCTGGGACAAGGGACACGCAGAAAACACACGGGCAAGTTAAGCAAAGGGCAAGCTAGAGCATGGGAGGTGAAAGGGTTGCAAGAAAAGTGCAAGGTTTGCACGGGAAGTGCAAGGGCAGCAGAGGGTTGCAGAGGGTTGCATTGCAGGTAGAGGCGCACTGGAAGGCCTTGAGTCCGCGGTAGACAAGCAGCACCACGTAGAGGAGGCATGCCCCGCATGCTGCCACGACGTAGAGCAGGAAGAGCCCCCAGAAGGAGTCCGGCCCCAGACGGATTGACTGCAGTGACGGCCCGCTGCTGCACGTGCCCCGACCCTGAGCGGAGAGAGGAGGGGTGAGGGGAGAGAGGAGAGGATGGAGTGGAGAGTGGAGGGGAGAGAGCGCAGAGAAGGGGTACGAGGGGTGGGAGCGGGAGGGGTAAAGCAGGAGGTGAAATGGTGCAAGGCTTAGGAAGAAGGGATGTGAGGGGAGTTGGGTGGGAGGAGCAAGGGAGCGAGGGAGGGAATGGGGGAGAGAGGGAGAAGGGGAGAGAGAGAGGGCGGAGGCGAGGGGAGGAGGGAGGGACTCTCACGTGCAGCCAGAGGTCGTGCAGCGACTGCAGCTGGCCGTTCTGAGCGAGCGCCTCTATGGCAATGGACATGTCGTTGGCCAGCGATGACCCCTTCTGAAACGCCTGGTAGCATGGCCGCATGGCAGCACACAGCACATCATTTCAGTGTTGACAGCAGGGATGCGCGAGGGGAGGGGGGGTGTGAGGGGGAGGGGGGGGATGTGGGATGGGGTATTGAGAGAGAAGCAGAGAGTAGCAGTTGCCGAGTTTCGAATCAGACGGGAGAGGCAGGGAGCTTAAAGCAGTGGGAAGCGGGGATTTGAATGCTGCGCTGCCTGCACATTGAGGCAGAATAGGCTGCCTAAAACCCTACACTGTCACTGAATCACAGCAATGATGGCAATTGGACAAAATGCTGATTAGGGTCGGAATACGCAATGGGGACACAATAATGTGCAGATGGGAGTCCAGGGGAGGGGGAAAGGGTAAAGGGTGGCGGTGGGTGAGCGGGGGTATGGGATGAAGGGAAGGATTCGGGAGAAATAGCGCAACGGGGCAGATGGGGAGATTCGGGGCAGTGTGGGCACCACAAAAAGAAGGGAGTAAGGGGTTGAACGGAAACGAGACGAGAATAACGAGAAAGAAATAACAGGGCGGGAGGGGGAGGCGAGGTGGTGGGGAGAAGGGCGGGGCCGGGCAGGGGGGCGGGGGGGAAGGGAGGGGAGTGAGGGGTGGAAGGAACTGACAAAGCCGAGGTTAAAGGTGGCGAAGGAGTGGGAGGGCTTGCTGTAGGCGCAGTAATCAGAGAGGAAGATGTCCACATAGGGCTCCTCGTCCACCATCGCCACCACGTCCGTGCGGTTCAACGCCCCGTCCACCTCCGCCTCGTCCGACAACGCCACCAGCCGCGACTGGAGGGGGGGAAGGGGGAGAGGGAGGGGAGAGGTGGGGTTGGGGCGGTGGGGAGGTTGGGGAGTTTAGGAGGAAGCATGAGAGTTGGTCAACGCCCCGTCCACTTCCGCCTCGTCTGACAGCGCCACCAGCTGCGACTGGAGGGGGAGGCGGGGAGGTGGTGGGGGATGGAGTTGAGGGGTGCGGTGGGGAAGCGCATGAAGAGGCATGGAAAGAGAGCATTTGAGCCGCATTTTGAGGCGCCTAAAAAAACACGTCATTGCAAGAGGCAGGCATGGTCAAGAGAGCATGCGAGTTGCACAGCGCCACGTCCATTCACAACGCGTGAAAGCCAAAGTCCCCAAGACGTGAGTTGTTCTCATTACTGCATCATTCAAACAACACCCCCAATTTCTTGTTAAACCGCAGGCCAAAGCCCCTACGCATATTTCTTTCTCTCCCTCTCCCTTGCCCCTCGCCCCTCTCTCTCCCTCGCCCTCACCTCGTTGATCCCCACGCTTCGAAGGTACTCAAAGGAGAAGGACCCGCGCTGGTACCCCACTGCATCATTCGACACCACCAGCGATTGGAAGTCCTGCCGTGGTTGGATGCATGCATGGCGCAGTGGTGTAGTGTGGTGTGGTGTGGAAAGTCAAAGGCATGTAGGGAGAGAGGGGACAAGGACAACAGATGGAGAGATCAGAGGACTGTACCCATACCCGCATCTATACAAAGGACCATTTGAGAGCAGAGGACAAATTTCTGGGCAACACATGAGTTTTTAAAAAGCACACGCCGCAAGTACGATACAGAGTGCACGAGTGCATACATCCAGAGCAGGCATGGAGATGGAGAGGATAAGCGCAGCAGCAGCAGCAGCAGCAGCAGCGGCGGCGGCGGCGGCGGCGGCGGCGGCGGCGGCGGCAGCAGCAGCAGCAGCAGCGGCAGCAGCAGCAGCGGCAGCAGCGGCGGCAGCGGCGGCGGTGGCGGCAGCAGCAGCAGCAGCATGAGCAACAGCGGAGGCGCACCTGTATGGTGGGTTCGGACTGGCTGACAGTGAGCACGGAGGAGAGACTGGCAGTGTATGCGGAGGAGATGACAAACACCACGAACAGCCACACTATCACCACTATGCGCCCCAGGGTCGTCTTCACGTTCTCCTCTGATGATATGGGGGAAGGGGAGATGTGCAGCGGGGAGTAGGAGTGAGGGGTAGTTGGGGAGAGGGGGAGTGGAGGAGTGGGGGAGAGGGGGAGTGGGGGAGTGGCGGAGAGGGGGAGTGGGAGGGTGGGTTGGAAGGTGGGGGTGTTGGAGGGCGGGGGAGATGGAGGGTGGAGGAGGGGGTGGAGACAACACACCCAGTTGCGAGCTGACAGTTTCTCTCTGATCCTCATAAGCTGTTATGGGTCTCTATTTCTCTTTGTCAGCAGCCTCAAAAGCTGAGACCCAGTCAGTGCGAATAACGAAGACAAATTCGGGCTAAAGGTTGAGAGTTGAGGGTTGACTGAAAACATTAGGTTGGATGGTTGAGGGGAGAGCAGAGCGCAGGTTCCAGGAGGTGTTACCTTGGGAAAAGGTCATAGTAGAGAAGGAGAACCTGTATAACACACACACACGTGCACATACACACACACATGCACACCCACACGCCCACGCACCCACGCACCCACAAACACACATACACACATACACACACCCCTTACCCCCTCCCCCCCACACACACACATACCCACACCCACACCCCACAAGCACACAGATACACAACCACACACTCACCCACGCGCCACACACATACACCCGCACACACACACACACACACCCCTCCCTTCCCGCCCACACACGCCACATGACAGATGCAAAGAGATGTGAGTGACGAAAGGCAGTTAACACAGAAGGCACACACGCTGCCACGTGGCAGGCGTAATTCGTGAGCCACACCCACCCACCCACCCTTCCCCACTCCGCCTGTCTCTCCCGTGAAACTCCCCAGCACAGAACCCCCACGCCCAATTCTGCCAACCTGCTCCCATCCGCTTTTACTGCCCCGCCGCTACTCCCAGCACTCCAACCCCTGCCCTGCCCTCCCCTCTCCTCCCTTTCCCTCCCCTCCCTTCCCCTCCTCTCCCCTCCCCTCCCTCCCCTCTTCTCCCTTTCCTCCCCTCCCCTCCTTTTTTTTTGCACGCACCAGACACTGGTGGCGAGCTGCTGGTGCAGCTTCCCCCCGAAGTCGTCGTTCTGCAGGTGCTCGAGGAACCAGACGACGAGCGCGGTGTAGAAGAAGGAGAAGTAGAGCAGCACCCACATGCCCGGGGTGAACGGCCGGAAGAACGCCCACGTGTCCGGCGGTGCTTGCTGCACCGGCACTATCATCGTCAGGCCTGATGCCTGGCCGTGGGGGAGGAGAGGATGATGGGATGGAGGGAGGGGGATGGGATGGGGAGAGGGGGATGAGAACGGGAGAGGGGGAGAGGGAGGAGAGAGGGCGAAAGGAAGGGGATAGGGGGAGAGGAAGGGGATAGGGACAGAGGAGGGGGGGGTGAAGAACAGGGGGAGCAGGTGGGAGCAAATGAATACAGGAGGAAATGCACAAGGAAAGGCTTACCTCTCTGAGATATTTCTCAAAGGAAGCAGCGCAAACAGCATATGCGAGCGGGCGGCAGGCAGCAGGAGCACTTGCCTCGAAGGGCTGGGTAAATTCGACTAGCTGGGCTCGCTGTGCCGTGATGGTGATATCCCCCACTGCTGCATCATACGTCTGATGGCGGGCACACACACCGGTGCACAGGGGGCACAGGAGGGCAGGGGGCCAGGTGGACAGGGGGCAGGTGGGAAGTGGAGCAGGGGCGCGGGTGCAGTGCAGGTGGACGAATGGGCGAAGGGGCAGGTGGGGAGGAGGCGATGATTAGGAGATGCTCAAGAGAAACAAAGGCAGGTGATGGCATGGATGGATGGTAATCAATGCTTGCCGAGAGGAAAGGCGTAACCAGGAACAATCGGCAAGGATAAAGAGTGTGGAACACACAAACACTGAAACGGGAAAAAAACACGTAAAGAGAGTGGAACGAATTTTCATGGAGACTTGGAAAAAGAGAGCGGAAATGAGCTTGCTAACCTGAGACTGAGTCTGCAACATTATTTAAGCACCAACTTCAATCCACGCTTCCGTTCAACCTCCCCATACCCACACCCACACCCACACCCACACCCACACCCACACCCACACCCACACCCACACCCACACCCACACCCACACCCACACCCACACCCACACCCACACACACACCCACGCACACACACACTTCACAATCTCGCCACCGCGCACACCTTGTTAGCGACAGCAGCGACCATGGTATCAAAATTAGGATCACTGAGGCCGTTCCCTTCCACGGCTGCCGATTCCTTCCTCTCGATCAAAATCCTCCTTTCTTCCTCCGCCCTCCCTCCCTAAGCAAGCACCCTGTCAACAACAGCAGGAGAAACCATTTCCTCTTCCACTTCCCCTCCCCCTCCCTCCACCCCCCTCCTCCTCCCTCTGCCTCCTCCCCCTATCCCCGCACACACCTTGTTAGCGACAGCAGCGACCATGGTGTCATAGTTAGGATCACTGAGGCCGTCCCCGAACGCCACAAACTGGTACTGCAGGTTGTACGGCAGCAGCGCCACGGCGGCCTTGAACACGTCAATGCAGAACCCGGAGAACTTCTCGTTGGAGCGAGAGAGGTTGGAGAGCGCGTCGCCCACAAACACAAATTGATGGTAGCCCTGATGGTGGCGGGGGTCGGGAGTAGGGTTGTGCGTGGTGGGGTGGGGTGGGGGAGTGGAGGAGCAGGATTTGAGGGTTTGCTATGGCTTGAAGGAGAGGGAGTTGGACAGCGCAGCGCCCACGAACACTAACTGGTGGCAGCCCTGGTGGCGGTGGTGGGAGTCAAGATTAGGGTTGTTGCGCATGGTGGGGTGGGAGAGTGGAAGGGCAGGATATGAGGGTTTGACGTGGCCTGTGCTATGGGCTTTAAGAAGATTTCTTTGATTTCGGAGACGCTTCACAGAACAAGGGCTTACCCGCTTGACTGGCACTGCAATCTGCAGCGGTGCAGAGCTCTTCGGGAAGGAGCCCACAGGCACCTACAGGAACGGCGTGAGTGGGCGGGTGGGGCGTGGGGGTAGTGGGGTAAAGTGGGGGGAAATGGGGGGGCAAGGGAGAGATGGGTTGAGCAGGGACAACATAAGCGTTGAGAAGAGGGGGAAGTGTATGAGTGGGGGAAGAGGCAGGCAGGGAAGGGGGAAGTGCGAGGTGATACAGGAGGGAAGTGGGAGGTGTATGATGTGCCAAGACATGCAGAGACTGGCAGAGGCATAAGCAGGGCAGTGCTGGCTTTTCAGGACAATGCATCCATGCACCCATGCACCCATGCACCCATGCACCCACGCATCCATGCAACCATGCATCCATGCAACCATGCAACCATGCATCCATGCACCCACGCATCCATGCAACCATGCATCCATGCATGCACGGGTGCATACCTCGGTCTTGGTCCCCCCCGGCCACACCACGTCTCGCAGCACACCACCAGCACCGCCCACAGACGTTCCAGCCCCGTCCGGCCCTGCTTGCGTGCTGCTCGATTTCACTGCTGCCAGCTGAGAGGCATGCAGGTGACGCCCACAATTGAATCAACCAGCAAATGAGAGGGACAAGGTGTAGAGGGGATATACTGTGAATATGACTTTGAAGCATAAGGACAGAGAGGTAAATGTAACGGGCAGATTATGTAAATCGGATGCTGTTGCATTCACCACTGCTTGCTTCCATTCCATCCACATTCTCCCCACATTATCCTAATTTCCATGTCTACACCTTAGACTGCATCCTAGCTCCGAGCATGGCTGTGAAAACGATGAGTTACATAAGGGATTAGGGTGCACGAAAAGGGAGGCGAGGAACGAGAAGAACAAGGAGACTCACCGCTGCTTTTGAGGCGCCTCAAAAGTCCGAGCATGGCTGTGAAAACGACGAGTTAGATAAGGGATTAGGGTGCACAAAAAGGGAGGCGAGGTAGGAGAAGAACAAGGAGACTCACCGCTGCTTTTGAGGCGCCTCAAAAGTCCGAGCATGGCTGTGAAAACGACGAGTTAGATAAGGGATTAGGGTGCACAAAAAGGGAGGCGAGGTAGGAGAAGAGGAGCAAGGAGGCTCACCGCTGCTGCTTGGGTTGTGAGCTTCCTGGAAACAAGCACTTGCGCCATCTGCATTTTTGTAGGCATAATAAGCAGAGACAGGATTTCAGGAAGCAAACCACACACAGAAATTGACATGACACAGGATAGTGGAAAGAATGCTCAGGAGGAGAAAAAATATACTGAAATGGCTACATTCTGTTTGTTTCACCACAAGTTAGAGGCCGCCTTACCTGTTCGATAGACAAGAGGCCTTGGGCAACAACAGTAGCAGACACTGCAGAGGCATTGGAGGAGGAGGACGAAGGAGGAGGAGAGGTAGGTGCGGGGGAGGAGGAGGATGAAGCGCGTGACACACTGGTGTTCCCAGCTGCACCAGGCGAAGGAGCAGCTGCACCAGCAGGAGCAGGAGCAGGGGCAGGCGCAGGAGAGGCGGCGCCGGGAGCAGCAGGAGCAGCAGCGGTGGTGGTGTTGGTGGAAGAGGTGGTGTTGGTGGGAGTGGTGTTGGTGGTGTTGGTGGTGTTGGCACGGTAATGGTAAAAGCCGATGGTGCGGATGCCGTATTGGATGTTGGCAATGCGGAAAAACTGCTCCTGCAGGTCGCCTGATGATGTGAACGACACTCTGACGATGGGGGGGGGAGGCGTGGGGATGGGGGTGGGAATGGGAGACGATGATTTGGATGTCTCATTAATAGAAAGAAGTTCTGTTGCAGCAGTAGAAAGAGATGGGAAGAGAGAAGAGAGTCTGAGAAAAGGAGAAACCAGAGTGGGATTAGCAGGAAGGAGTAGAAACAGGGAGGGAGAGTAGACGGCGATGGGTAATAGTACACGGGAGGAGCGGGGAATCGAGCTGAGAATATGGAAATGGACGAGGCAAGGTGCAACTGGGGTGGGTTGTAGAGGGGTGAGGTGGAGAGGGGTGAAGTGGGGTGAAGGGGCGAGTGGTGTAACCATGAGGTGAGGTTGGAATTGGACTCACTCTCCTGTGACACCGCTCATGTTGCTTGAAAGGATGGACGCAAGAAGAGCATCGCCACCTGCAGCAGATCAGCGCACCATACATACAGACAACAATGACGCCATTGGATTGGAAATAATGCCATGCCGTTGCCAATGCCAAGCATGCCAATTCCCCAGCTTCTGACATGCCTGATACGGCGCTGTCTCCATCTGAGCCATCTTAAGAGGTGTCCGAAAATCATTAAAGCCATGGTGCTGTTCCTGACTGAGCACAAATCGCCATGCTTCACGCACACACACATCTTGGTGACTTGTGAGCCGACTCAAAAAAGACAGATTGCAGCGCTCCATGCACCCACCTTGCCGAATCTGCAGCTGCTGAAACCCCTCAATGACCCCCCCGGAAGCAGCAGCGGGCGGAGCAGGAGGAGCAGGAGAGGAGGAGGAGTTGCCTTGGGAGGGGGCGGAAGGAGACGGGGGCGGGGGTGGCGCGGGGGGATGGAGGAGCGTGTCGAGGTGAGCAGTGGCAAAGAGCTTCACTGCATCATACGCGTACAGCGCCTGGCGGTACCCCTCTGCTTCGCTCTGTGAGGGAACGGGAGAGATACGGGGGCAGAATGCGGGAGCAAGGCGTGCATTGTTTTTTTTTCTCTCTCTCTCTCCCCTTCTTTTGGTTTGTCAAGTACAGGGCCATGCGAGAAACCTCTGCCTCGTTCCGTTGAAAAACGGTTGCTTAGACATGTCAAGAGCACGCTCGTATGCAGAACAAGGGCAAAGCTTATTCTCTTGCACAGTCGGGCGAAGAGGACAGACAGAGTCATACAGGTGTAGTGCACTTACGAGCAGCAGGGAGGGAGTGAGTTTGGCCACGCCAGAAATGGCCTTGACAGTTTCCTCGCGATGTGGCGTGGGCACATCAAAGGGCAGCGTGCCTATCATGCCCTGCCAGAAACCAGCCACACGCAATCCAAACGTAATCCACACGCAATCCGCCCATAGCACGGCAGGGAGGGAGAGAGGCGTTGCTTGCTGCTTTGCCTGTTTTATGTGCCTCTAAGAATAGATGTGAAGTGAAAGGGCGGCATGAATACCTCGCTGCCACCCACACGCCATGATAAGGAGGGAGAGATTGGAGGACGAGCGAACATGTTAGGGAACGGGGGAGAGAGAGCGAAGAGCATGCTTAGAAGACCCCAGACAGAAAATGGGGAGACTGGAGTCCACAAAAGAGGCTAAGCCTAAGAGCAATGCAGTGCAGACAAGGCGCCAATGCAGTATAAGACGGTGAACCATGCTGCATGCCCCAGGTCCCATGCCCCAGGCCCCATGTCCCAGGCCCCATGTCCCAGGCCCCATGTCCCAGGCCCCATGTCCCAGGCCCCATGTCCCAGGCCCCATGTCCCAGGCCCCATGTCCCAGGCCCCATGTCCCAGGCCCCATGTCCCAGGCCCCATGTCCCAGGCCCCATGTCCCAGGCCCCATGTCCCAGGCCCCATGTCCCAGGCCCCATGTCCCAGGCCCCATGTCCCAGGCCCCATGTCCCAGGCCCCATGTCCCAGGCCCCATGTCCCAGGCCCCATGTCCCAGGCCCCATGTCCCAGGCCCCATGTCCCAGGCCCCATGTCCCAGGCCCCATGTCCCAGGCCCCATGTCCCAGGCCCCATGTCCCAGGCCCCATGCCCCATGCCCAGACAGACCCCACGCTCCAACCATGCCTCATGGCTCACGCCCAGTACCCGCACCCCGCACCCCATACCCCACGCCCCCAGCAGGCACCTCGCAGGAGGCCTGAGTACTGGAGAGGCGCGGCTCAGCGGCCAGCAGAGACATCACGCCCGCCGTCGCGATCCACACATACCCCTCCGTGAACAGGCCCAGCTGCGACGCTGCCCAGGGAAAGAAGGGGGAACGGAAGGAAGGAGGAGGGAAGGAAGGGAGAAGGACGGGGAAAGGGGAAGAGAAATAGGGAATGGGGAGGAGGGTGGGAGGGAGGTGGTGGGGAAGAAAGGGTTAAAGGGTTGTTCAGCAGGTGAAGCAGGATCATAGAGGCTCCCTCACTAAAGGCACCTGCTCCACCTCCCACCCGCCCTAGCATTCACCTTCCCTGCCTCCCTCCTCCTACTCCGCCCTGCCCTTTGGCCTCCTTTGGCTATTCGGTTGCTGAGCTGCACTCACCGGTCTTGAGCAGGAGGTGGATGGTGGGTTCGTTCTGCAGGTGCAGCACGAAGACAGACGCCTCCACCGACCGCACCTGCAGCAGTGCCTTCATCACGTCCTCCACAGCGCTCACCCCGCTGTCAAACTGCCACGACGCCACCACACGCGCCGTGCCCTGGGGCCGCGGATAGGTGGAGAGAGAACGCGTAGACGAGAGGACATGCGGAGAGAGAGGGGACGGAGAACGAGAGTGAAGTAGTGGCCAACAGGAAACGCAGCGGGGATAACCTCTGATGACAGCGCTAGCCAACCCTTAGGAATTGGTAGGTTTGAGCTTTCCACAGGACGCACTCACCCGCTGTTGCAGCAGGCGTGTGAGGGTCTGGAACCCGTTCCACGCGCTGTCGGTGCTCTCAAACAGCGCCACCACTTGCGTCCAGTTGTAATACGATATGATGTCTGCACATGCGACGGAATAACGGAGGCCACAGCAGGCACATGGTATATACAAACGCAGGTACAGCATGACAGCATGTGACCGTGCAAAACAGCATGACAGTAATCGGCATGCCGTTATGTGACGGGCTAGGAAGAGAGAAGGCAATGGCAGCAGCACTGCCTGCCACGGAAACAACAATCTCAATAGCTACTTCCATTGCTCGCTGCTGTCAGCACGACTGAGAGCACAACAAGCTCACAAATGCAGGCAGGCAGCTTTGCTCGAGACATAGAACCACACTCACACTCACTTACTGGCCCCCTCACTGGCTGACTGATTGGCTGACTGACCCACCTAAAACGGCAGTCATCGGCGCCTGGTCGTCATAAGTGCATGCGCACAGAGTAGGGCAGCTGCGCATTCGTGTTCAGCAGCAAAGGGCCCTCGTACCATGGTAGCGAGGTGACTTTTCAGCCAACCCACCTGAGACAGCAGTCATCTGCGCCTGGTCATCGTAATGCATGCGCACAAAGTAAGGCAGCTGTGCATTGGCGTTCAGCAGCGGGTCTGACGCTGCGTACGACAGCAGAGGCACCTGCAGCACCGGGCGAGCAGAGGGAGCGCGCGAGACATGAATGATTTTGACTTTCAACGTCTAATAGTTGCTGTCAAGACGCTGGAAGGGACTGAGGAGGCATGTACACAAGGTGGAGTGGAGCAGTGGCATGCAGATACAGTACGCAAGCGTGTGGTTCGCTTGACGCAACTTAAGAAGACCTGCAACAGGGCAGCAGGTGGCGCCTGGACTTAAGACATGCAGCTGCACAGCAGGTCGCACCTGGGCAGCAGGTCGCACCTGGACAGCAGGTCGCACCTGGACAGCAGGTCGCACCTGGACAGCTGAGGCGATGGGTCCCACAATGGAGGCCTGGAGCGACGTGGGCGGCCCTAGCAGCACGTCTGGGTGTGGCGCTGTCAGAAGCAGCTGCAAGGCTGGAGCAGAGAGACAAGCGGAACACACAGGTGGGATTCGCGTCACACAATTCCACGCCAGTTCGTCCGGCAGCAAGATAACCCCAAGAAAATGATATCCCAGGGTGATTAATCTTAAGAAGCAATCTGATGACAATTTCAAGACACCTCGACAATCGCAAGACACCACGACAATCCCAAGACACCATGACAATCCCAAGACACCACGATAATCCCAAGACACCATGACAATCCCAAGACACCATGACAATCCCAAGACACCACGATAATCCCAAGACACCACGATAATCCCAAGACACCACGACAACCCAAGGCACCATGACAATCCCAAAGGCCAGCAGCACTCTTACCTGCAGCCTCGGCCTGGAAGGGGTCAGAGTCACTGGCGTTAGCCATGCGCAGCACTATCCGCACACGCGTTGCCGCCTCCACCTCCCTCACCGCCCTCTCAATTGCTGCAGCGCAGAGCGTGGTGAGAGAACGGGGGGACAGAGGACGGGAAGCGAGTGGGGTTGGGAGGGTTGGGAGGAGGGGAGAAAGGAATGGGTGAAAGATAGATCAAGGCTGGTTTTGGGGAAGAGTGGCGCGGCGTGTCTGTATGTTGGTTATCTGCAGAACAGAATTCACCTTGTGCATCTTCCTCACCGTCTTCTCTTCTCTGCCGCTGTCGCAGAGGGGTGGTGAAAGGGAGAATGGGAGAGACGAAAGGGTAACGACAAACGAGCGAGCGACTGATGGTGTTGCACGAAGGGCGAGCGAGAAGCGACTGTTCTAGGAAGGGGGATGGCACCTCGTCTCCGAATTTGGAAGGAGACAAATAAATATAAAATTTCCTGGCTACGGACAAAAGACCTCCTCTTGAAGTTGGTCGCGATGTCAGCGGAGAATGTTCAAAACATTAGCTGGAAATGGAGAAGCGCGAAGCGAGACGAGAGAAAAGAGAAGAGAGAGAAGAGAGGCGGGAGACGAGAGAGGAGAGAAAGCGAGGCAAACCCTATGACCATTAAAGACCACCACACGCCTACCGCGCCCAACGAAGGACTTCGGTTCAACAAAGGGAGTGAGAGTCACAGCACCATCGCACCTGACGTCATGAGAAGCGTCAGGCATGTCGACGGAACGAAAGAAAACCACTAAGTTAAGAAACTTACGTGAATAGAGGAGGTGAGAAGCTCAGCAGAATCGTACCTGAGGCGATAAGGAGCCCCGACGGAGTTCCCAGGCTCAGCAAGCACCCTATCACGGGGGCCTCTTTTCGCTTTCCGCGCGTCGCGGCGGCTGCGGCGCCCATTGCGGCGGCATACGCGGCAGACACATCCGGGACGGACGTCGCCTCGGCTTCCACTAATGAGCGGACGTTTCGAGACGGATTCTGTAACGGAATATCAGAAGAACTCTTTAGAGCATCTACATCTCTGTAGGGAGTCCGCTCGAGACCTTCTTGAACGCCAGTGCCTTCAGACAGCCCTTCGTTAAGTAACGCGTTGGTATCGCTCCTATCTCCGCCTCCGCTGCCGTCGCCACTGCTACTGCTGCTAAAGCTGCTACCGCTGGCGGTGGTGCTACCGCGAGCGATGTCGTGTGAATATAGTTCCTCTAACCCCTGCCATTGTGGATGAGCCGGAAACTCGTCGGCTTTTGCTGGAAGCTCATCCGGCGGGAACGACGGTCGCAAAGGAGAATGTAACGTGGAGATTCCATGGCTTTCTGTCGCGCTGAGAGGCTGTGCTCCGTCCTTTGAGAACGTTACATGCGCTTGCGGAACTTGGGAGAATAAGAAAACGAGGAGAGAGGTCACGCAGAGCCGGAGGCGCAGACCACGGCGAGAGAACGGGGAAGGGGAATGTAACCATGGCTGACCGTGCGGTGATCTCGTAAACGATTCCACCATGGTATGCGCTCGAAAAAAAGAGTTAACTTGACGTTACTGCGAGCGGGTGACGCAATATATAATTACGTGTGACGCAGGTGATTTAGTCAGCTATGACTGTAGGCAACTCCGTCAAGTGAAACTCCAGAACCAAGAAACTGGTACTTTTAGACAAGTAAGGGAAGCGCACGCCACCGCAGCGAGCCGCATAAATAAGTCAGGCGACGTCAGTCAGCCGCGCGAGACGCCGACCTTTTGATTGAAGCTCCTTCCTGCGGTTTGTGCAATAGAGGTGTTGTGGAAGGTTGCGGGCGGTGGTGTCATGGCACAGTGAGACACACGAACGGATACACCTAGTCTGCAGTATTTTAACCACGTGAACTTTTTTGTTTAGAACATCCTGTGTGCATTTGTGTCCAATGGGATGGGCACCCAGAGAATTCAGGGCTATTAGAATACAACCGGGACACTTTTATTTTGGAAAACCCACACTTAGTGCTCCGAGATAGGGGGCGCTTTGGCATCATCAGAGTTGCAACTGACGTGACCTCGCGAAGGGGACACGTAACTCTACCCTCATAAATTTGTTAAACTACCCTTGTATTCGATCTTGACCACGGAGTAGTACCCCTGCGTGGTTAAGATAGCGGCGGTTAAAATACCGCGGACTAGGTGTGCTGTGTATTTGAGAGGCAACAAGGGGGGGGGAGGCAACGGGACAAAAGAACACCATCGAAGGTGGGGGAAAAGGGAGGAATGATGACAGCAGAAGGCGGAGGATGTGCTTTGTACCAACAGTAGAGCTTGTGCAGAAGGGTTCACCACGATCAGGGTCTGCTTTGACTAGGCTAGCACCCTGTATTGACTGAAATAAAAAGGTTGTTTCCTGAGGTGCCCTAAATCGGCGCGGCAAGCGCCGAGGGGCTGTTTCGCGCTTTAGAAATACCTTCCAGTTCTTTTGTCTTTCGTAAACCTCTCCCGCAGCCCACTCAGTTTAGGAAACAAGACGTGCACTACAGTGCTGAACGACTGAGGTGCAAAGCCCATCACCTTTGTGTGGCTCATGTTGGTACGTGTACAGCTGGCCTTCGTGACCTGTTGAGGTATGGGTCTTGTTCGACTTCGGCCTTAGCGACAGAGGTGGGTAGTTACTCTAATCAGAAACTAATGCGGGATCACTTTGAATGATCTGGGGCTTGTATTTCCGGCTGGAAAGATACATGACGGCCTATTTCCTACCCGAACACCTCAAGTTAGAACATTAAAGCCGCGGTGCAACTATCAGCTTCAACTTCAAAGTATTATAGCTTGGAAGAGGTTGACCCAGGCAGTTCACAGCGAGAGGTTTGTCCTGTTGTGAAACTCGAGTGTTTTCGACCAATAGAAGTCCAGTTACTCACATGCGAGTTTTGTCCTGCTACTGTTTCTAAGAAGTTGCACCGCGGTTTTAACCCATATCCACCATGGTGCTGCCACTGTTCCAATAGCCCGTACGGTGTTGTCTTAGGCTAGTCATTGGTCAACCGCAATCGGTGTTGTGGTGGGGGTTGACTGTCACCGCCACGGTAACTTGTTGCGAACTGTACAGCCAGCGTTACAACGCTCCAAATGAGCGTCTTTCTAGCATTTCCGTTTATAATCAGCTCTACGTGAAAAATTGATATACAAGGCAGCTGTTTTCCTGTCCATCAGCTGTCAGATTAAACTTCCATCTCTAGATCTCAGCGAAGGTTATATGAAGACATGCTAAAGCCTTCGTAGGACACGGCGCTGACTTGAACATGAAACACAAGCATGACGCATGGGTACAACTCTTTACATGTAAAGACCCTCAGGAACACCCTCTTTCTTCTTGTATAGCACCTTCTCCTTAGCCTTGCGGAAATCTGCTTGTGTCACCTGAAAACAAAAGCAAACAGACAAAAACAAAACCGAAGTCAAATAAACAAACCAGCTCTCATCGCCACAGGAAGGAGCAATCACTACAAGAACAAGAATAATCACCCACTTGACAGCCCTCACCCTACTTTTCACATACCTTCATGCGTCTTTCGCGAAGAGCGAGCAGCCCAGCCTCTGTGCACATGGCCTTGATGTCAGCACCCGAAAGCTCATCCTTGCTCAGCACAAACTCCTCCAGATTCACATCCTCCGCTGTTGTCATACGAGACGTGTGAATCTGCAAATCATCATACAGCCATTAGGCCAGCATAAGTTAAAACCAAGCCACCATAATCAATACATTTAAGCTTGACAGTTCCCAACCTACGTCCAACATCCTTTCCCCCACTCATATAGGGCTCTCTCACCTGGAAAATGCGGCGCTTAGTCTTAATGTCAGGCAGAGGGAACTCAATCTTGCGGTCAATACGACCCGGACGCAGCAGCGCAGGGTCGAGACTGTCAATGCGGTTGGTGGCAAGAATGACCTTGACATCTCCACGCGAGTCGAAGCCGTCCAGCTGGTTCAGCAACTCGAGCATCGTCCGCTGAATCTCCCTCTCACCTCCCGAATGAGCGTCATAACTGTTCATTCAAAGCGAAAACGCAAGGAAAATAATATGGTCACAACAGTATTCAAAGTCCTTGGACCACTTGATACATGATAAATTGGAAGAGAAAGGGTACATGGGTTGGAGGAGAAGCTTACCGTTTGGTTCCCACAGCATCAATTTCATCAATGAAGACAATGGAGGGCGAGAGGTCATCCGCCACTCGGAACAGCTCCCTCACAAGTTTAGGCCCATCGCCAAGGTACTTCTGAATGAGCTCACTGCCTACCACGCGCAGGAAGGTGGCTGACGTGGAATTGGCGACAGCCTGTAAAAGGTGGGCAGGGAACGGAAGGCGAGCGCGCGAGGAGGCAAGAACAGAACAGCGTCAAATTGGAACAAGGAGCAGGTCGGGAAACGAGTCAGGAGGAGGTGATTTAACTCCACGCCTGGAGTATTCCCTGACACACTGCATAAACCGCACCTTCGCCAGCAAGGTCTTGCCAGTGCCTGGTTCACCGTAGAGAATGACTCCCTTGGGGGGCTTGATACCAATGTCTTCGTAGAGCTCCGGATGTGTGAGCGGAAGCTCCACCGCTTCCTTAATCTCCTGAATCTGCTGCTCCAGCCCACCGACATCGGCGTACGACTCCAGGGGAGCCTTTTCCACTTTCATCACAGATACCATGGGGTCCACCTCGTCCTGTAGGATGCCCACCACTGACAGCACCTGCAGGAGATTCAGAGATTGGACGAGATACGGAGGCAGCACGGGAGACGACGGGGACGGAAGGGGATATCACAAAAATTACGAGAAGACCAGAGTGTGAACCTCCAGGAATCTGGCGCGGGTAGTTAAAAGCGCCGAAGAGAGGAAATAGGAGGGACCGAAGAGCAAAATTTGTAGATCCGTGACTGTCGAAGCTAATCCTTGATGAGAATTCCATGTGGACAGCAGTTAGCCGAGGAGACGCACCTTATTGTGCATGAGGATAGAGCAGCCAGGCTCCAATTGATCCTTATCCACAAACGACAGGATGCTGACGTAATACTCCGGGCCCACGGATGACGACACGATGGCGTGATTCTCGTCGATGATTTCTTCAAGGCTTCCGACGCTCATGGGAGTTCCGCGAAGATCATCCACCTTGGACCGATCCTCCTCGTTCTTCTCCTCCTGCGGCTTCAGCCGCTCCTGATTCGTCACGTACTCTTCCTCCATAAGAAGGTAATCCTTAACGCGCTCCAGCTTCAGCAGACGCAACTTGCACTTAGTAGCGGGAGTCACGACCGGCAAACGAGCCGCTGCTTCGGGTCCTTTAGCCTTCCGCTGCTTCCGGCCGACACGCGATGGCGGAGCAGCAGGCTCATACTTCTTCTTTTCCTTACGGTCGTCCTTGCCATCGCCCGGCATGCCCTTTCCAGGCAGCCCAGACTGACCCTGCCCCATATCTAGTCGCTTTTCGTTCCCCTCGTTCCTTCCGAATTCCTACGATCTGAATTCGAGCAAAGCGAGCGGCCCAGAATAAGAACCAGATCCAGAGACACCCGCGCCGGGCTTCTACGTTTGAGCCTGATTCAGAGCTCTACGAAAACAATATCCCCACTGAGGTTAGGGCACACGCTGCGAAACGTAGAAGACTAAACTAGGAACAGGATCTAGGACGCTGGAGCTCTTGGGAATTGGCTCGCTGAGTATGATGGTGGTGCTGGATTTCAAAGGCTGTGGTTTGGTTGGGATTGAGTTTTGGTACACAGATCGATAACATACGGTAACAGCTACCTTTGATTGACAGAATATTAGCTCCTTACATGGCAGTTCACAACTGCCATAAGGTGAAGAAAATATATCACTTCACCTCAAGGTTTTCTCACAACTCACTTTAAACTGACTAAGCTGTTTATTCTCTAGGTTAATTAAAATTTTTA